ACGCGTGTCGGAAATTATTTATTTACTTTTTGTCTTTCCCTACATAGTTGCGTGTGAATCACGTGCGTACCCGTGACTACAACCGTGGCCGTATACTTGATTATTTCCCGCCTGCCGCTAATAAACAACGTCGTTTGCTAATTCCATTAGCAAGCGTAACCGTAACTCGTCGCAAACTGAACGATCGAAGCGCTTTCTATCGTGCGAGATTTACGTAATCCTTCGTGTGCGTGTACACGTACGTACGTACACACACGTCTTCGTTAGTTCTCTCTCTTCTTTCTTTTTTTCTTTTTCCTTTCTTTTTTTTTTTTTTTTTTTTTTTTTATTCGTTTGCACGTGTCGCCACCGTTACAATTTATTGCTTTCACTATGATAAATCTAAAATCCTCTAAAGCGTCATAGGGGGAGAGATATTAACATTAACGGCGCGTTTAAACTTCGAGATTTAAACTTCGACCATCTTCGGCGAAGATCGGAGATCTGCCTCTTGGCTGGTCGTTTCCTTAGACTCTGAAAACGCTGTAACAAGCTTATCTATCGACAAGATCCTTTCGTCATCGAAACGCGGATCGAACGTCCCCGGTGCGATGCTCCGATCCGTCCACTTTCGCTCTTTCGTTCTCGTTCCCCGGATAGAATTCCTGAAAATCGTCGGTCGATTAGTATTCCGTGATAAAAAAAAAAAAAAAAAAAAAGGAAAAGAAAACTTAGCGAGATCGATATTACCTGAACCGATTCCCTCCAACGCAAGATCGCTCGACAATTGTTGAAAAAAAAAAAAAAAAAGAAAGTGATCGAGCCGCCTGGGTGTGTCATTCCAACCGCAACACACCGTGTATCCCAATCGAGTCCCAATGATCGTGTGTATCGTGGATGAGTATCTGACGTTGTCGGCAAACGATCGTCCAAAACCTGATCATCACCAAGTGGTGCACTTGTTGGGGGGGTTCATCTTGGTTCCGATCGGGCAACGGAACGCGTCCGCGAATGCTTGCGAGTTCATCATTATACCGTTGACCCTGAATATTTTAACCGATATAGAGACTATTTATATTTCAACCAACCAGATATTGAATTCGTTCGTGGACGTTTGACTTCAGGATAGAACTGTCAGGTTGGTTAATTACCTTTCGGGCTGAGGTGTGTGATAGTCGAGCTCAACTGAAAGAATGTAGGCCTCGGCAGTCATATTGGAACAGTAGGTCTGCAACGCAATGCGGAAACAAAACTGCTGTACATTAATGGCACTTGGTCTCGCAGCCTCGTGAAATAAATAATAATTTCTTACGTTTCAACTCTGTTTAAATAAATGTAGGGGGAAAGAGAAGAAGGGAAAATGTATCAGTATATGAATATAATGATTACTAGATTGCTAGAAAATAATAATAAAAAAAAAAGAAGACATCAAGGTGTACTAGTGAGTTAGGGGATGACCAGGCCTCGTTTCTGAAACAGCGAAATTGAGATGCAGGTGGAATAACGACAATCGCCGTGGTGGATCGACGAAAAAATCAAACTCGATCGTAGCGAGAGCCGGGAGAGGATGAAAAGTTCGCGCGGCGATGTTTACCTGGGCGGCGCTTATGAAGAAAAGCTGGCTCGAACGAAGTCCCTCCAATCCGGGAAGACTGCGGTCCTTCCCGTTCGTCAGTGTGTGCCAGGTTTTGTAAGAAATCTGCAAGGCTCCAATATCGGCGACGTTCTCGTTCCTCGTCACGTTCCAGTCGAACTGAAAGAAAAAAAAACTCGTTCCAACGAAAGCTTCGGAGAGCTTCGCGAAGGATAGATATCGTCTGTCTACCTGTACGGCGACGTCGTTCCCGTAAAACTGAACTTTCCTCCAGAAACTCCTGGCGTAGAGCCTGGCGACGCACTCGATCCTCGCTTCGAGCCTCTTCCAGGACTCCGGCGTGATCCAGAGCCATTGATCGACGTTCATATCGGGGTCCAGTGGCAGTCGGCGTCGATGAAGGTCGAAGGCGTGGAGGATCTCGTGGCCGATCACCGATCCCAAGGTCGCGTACGCCGCGTACGCCGGCCCACCGTCCCAGGACCACGACCAAGCATTCATCATCGCCAGCGGCATGCCTGAAATCGAGAAATGATCGAGAATCTCGCGGCTGTTGCCCGCTGTTTTAGCAAAGTTAGGTTTCAGCCGTTAGGCTGTTTTACCAATCGTGTTCGTCGACGATTCGTAGTAAGCGGTCACGCTGTAGGGATGGCGGCGTCTGTAACAGGAAAAATTCGTAATAAAATAACGTAATAATCGAAAGCATTTGCAATAATAATAACGGAAGGAAGGAAGGAAGGAAGGAAGGAAATATCACGGATTTATAAGAAAAGCGAGGAATGCTCACTTCTCGGTGACGTTCCTTCGTAAAACCTTGTCGTCCACGGTGCGAATCTGCCGGAACCGTCTGAGCACCGTGCGAAAGAAGTCCTCCGGGTCGATCTCCACCTACCGATGGAAATTCAAGAGAGACGACACGAGTCACGAATGAATGTATCGCACGCGTCGCATGCAAAGAAGCACGAGGAAGGCCTCACCTCGGCCATTTCGCGGGCCAGCAGGCTCTCATTGTAGAAACCAGGCCACACGTGAAATCTTCCTCGCAACGAGTTCAGCTTCAACAATGCCTGCGTCCTTGTCTCCTCGTCTAGCCAAGATTTCACCAAAATACGCTCGGCTACTGTCTCTTTCACGCGTTCGAACAGCCCTCCCACCTGTTCCCGACACGGTGCAATTTGTTTCGCAACCGTTTCATGCAAACCATGA